GATCAAGAAACAAGATCTATTGTTATTCTATATAGAAGAAACACGTTTAACTCAAAAAGAAAATCATGGACTGAAAATCAAAAGAGACAAAACAATTGTTCTCCATGACAGGAAACCAGGAAAAAAGCAATGATATCTTGCCTGTCAACCACAGAATGGATAAAAAAGATATGGGAATTTGATGCAATAGAGCTACCTAACTATAGGATCCTAACTATAGGATCATCTCAAGGCTCTTGCAGGTAAATGGATGCAAATGAAGATCATGCTCATGGTTTGGACTCATGTGGGTGAACACTGAGCTATCTCCCTAACATAAAATCCTCAAGGAGTTAGTGGGATCCAAAAAGCACGATAGATATTATGAAAGTGATAGGGAACAAATGCCAAAAAAGGGAATATGGTAACCACTGTTAATTTCCTATTATCTTGTTTTGAATTCCTGTATCATTTTCATAATTTTGTTAGGTTTGATTCTATCTGGTCTTGTTTTGTTAGATTTTATCATATGTGATCATATGGGCAGCTGTTCTGAAGATAATTGGATGTATTATGGTAACCAATGTTGGTTTCCATTTATCTTGCTTTGAAATCCTATACTGGTTTCATTCTTTAGTTTTGATCTGTCTTATTCTGGTTTTTTGTTGTTGTTGTTGTTGTTGTTTGATTTGATTAATGTGAATAGTATGGACAGCTATTTTGAGGAAAATGAGAAATCATGGTAGTCATTGTTCATTTCCTGTCATCTTGTTTTGAAGCCCTTTAATGCTTATGTCTTTTGTTTTGATTGGTTCTGTTCTGTTTTCTTTTGTTTGATTTTATTCTGTGTGAAGGTATGGACAGCTGTTCTGAACAAAACAAGAGATATTACAGTAGCTGCTGTTGATCTTCTGTTGTCTTGTTTTGAAGTCCTCTGCTACTTGCATTGTTTTATTCTGATTTATTTTATTCTGTTTTGTTTTGTTTTATTCTCTTTAAAGTAAAAAAAAAAATGAAGGTGATGTTTTCTACCCTTGTTCCCCAACATAATTTCATGTTTTCATAAACTTCTGTTGGTTACAAAGGAATGTATACTGCACATGAATATTGACTTTGAGTACCTCCCTAGAATCCTATTCAAGGAGGACAATAAAAAACTCTGAGATGGCATTATAGAAATTTTTGTTCTGAAAGAAGGAAAGCAGATTAAATACTCCTGGTCTAGATAATTACCTAAAAATTTTAATAATAGTGTTAGTAATAATAATAGCTACTATCTTAACAAATATTTTATTCATCGAGTTAAGTTTTATAAGATTGCATATCCTTTTAAGATGGGAGATGTCTTACTACACAAAACTTTGTTTAAAAAAATAATTTGTGCTTACATAAGTAAAATGACTGTATTTATAAAGCATTATTGAAGTATTTTATAGTGAAATGACATTATGACTCCAATTTAGTTTATTTTCAACTGCTGTAGGAAAAAATTTGATACAGAACGAGAAAGAGAACATGTAGAGATAAATATTAACAAAAGTAATATATCAGTTATCACTTTTCATGTAAAAAATTATGTATTGTAACTCTTGAAGACTGATACACTTTTATCCTTTATTTAAATGTTTTTACCAAAATTTAAATATATCCCATACAATCCTTTTCTGTATTTTCTATGTTTTAGTAAAAATTGTTAAAACAGCTTAATTCTTTGAATTCATTTATAAACAATATACTTGTTCAAATGATAGTAATACCTCCTAAACCATAAAGTATTATTTTCGCATTATAATGAATACAGTGTATCTATCATCTCTCTTACCCACAGTGCTGTTATTTTTTCATCTTGCCCCTGGCTTCTCCTTGCCTAGTGTCCTTGTCATTTTAAATTTTCTTGCATGGTCAATAGTTAAGTACTAAATATGTCAATTTTCAGAATTGTTTATGCTTTTTAAAAATATTTTCCTAACTAAGCATCTTCCAAAAGTGTTTATTAAAATCTATTTTTGTCCAATACAACTCTATCACTGTTCTTCTAATCTAGTTTTTTGCGAACATTTCAGAACTTTCTATACTAAATCTTTTTTTTTTTACTTTCAAATATCTTGCTTTATTTTATAAATCTTCTGAGATTTTGAATACTTTCATTTTACTCTTTAAACTGCTACCTTGAAGGTTTTTCAGAAGCAGCACTATCTTGTGTGACAAATAATTTTAGCACCAATTACTTGATTCTAGACTTACTTTATAATTCAATTAATAGTAAAATAAAATAGTTTAATGCTTATAACCAGGATTGTAACTGTTTGCAATAAAATCTAACCTAGGATTCTTTTCATATAATGAGACAAATATATAGAACTGTGTTGATTATTATGTCATGCAATTATATAACCTTCATATCTCTGTTTGTGTAGTTCTTTCTTTCCTTTTTAGTATAGTAGGCTGACTCTGTAGTTGTAAATGATAATAACGGTGATAACAATGCACATATTGTTGATTTCCACAAAAATCCCTACAGATTGATTTTAGATAGTTCCTTACTGAAACACTTTCATAAGAAACAACCTCAAATTTGATAACTGAAATGAACTAAATCAAATAATTTTATGTATTTGACACCTTTATTAAGAAGCCAAATGCACAGTGGTAGGGAGGATAAATTCTAGGTTATTAAATTGCTGAAACCACCAACATTCATACTTACTATTTTTTATTAGTATAGGCTTGTATTACAGAATAATGATGTGTTTATTACACAACATGTCTTAATCATTTTTAATCTTTTATTAAATGTCATGGAATTTCTTTATATACTGTTTGGTAATCTGTTTATTTTTTCACTCATGTATTTAGTGAATAATGTATTGAGCACTTTTGCAGATACTTCTAGACTCTGGTGCTTTCAAACAAGTAATTGAGAAGACAAAGTCTCTGATTGCCAGAGGCTTAAATTCTTTTGGAATAGACAAAAAGCAAACAACAAATCGATATATAATATAATGTCAGATAGAACTAAGTCCTATGGAAAGAATATCAATGCCGATACTGAATCAATTTGAACAGGAATAGATTGTTTCACAGAGGACAGTTAGGGAAGGCCTCTTTGTGAACGTGATATTTGGAGGAAAGGAGAGAGGAAGCAATACAATTTTGTAGTGATAAATGTTTCAGATAGAGGGAACAGCACATTCCAAAGCCAAATGGATGCTTTTGTGAAGAGTAAATGACAATGTTTAAACTCATTCGTGCATAGTTAAATGTTTATTAGATATTATTGTAAAATTAATAATTCATTCTACATGTTAGTATGTGTTTTATTTGCTCTAATGTATACCTTCTTTTTCATCTGGGTCATCTTGCTTCACGTGAATTACATGTAGTTCACGTTGCTCTCAGTGCCTTCAGCTTATCCTTTATTAACTCAAGGTCAACTAAGCCTTTCTTACAAGACTTAAATGTTACTGTGTCAGAGGTCCTGTTTTTTAAGCCTTTGCCGTTCTGATCAACAGAGGTATCTTCTGAGCAACATTCAGTTTATTTTATTGCTAAGTGTTAGACAATGACCCTCTCTAAAGAGAAAATACACAACTTATTTATGATGATTATAATTTTGATTGACTTGCCCATTTGCAACCTGTTGTTTTTCATGGGTGAGGGAAAAACAGAACTTTTAAAAGAAAGGATATCATTGAGAAAACAGTACTTTCAGAAAACAAAGAAAATTTAATTTACTTCCTACCAACCTTTCTCATTTCCCACTATGTTGTATTTATATTCCCCACAATGCTCTCAAAAGTCAGGAAAAAGTGCTATCACTGTCTCTGACGATAGAACAGCGCTGGAGCTCAACTCACTTTTCTTTCTTTCTTTCCAGTTTGGCTGTATTTATTCCTCATTTTATTGGCTTTTATTAAAGACAAAAAAGCTACAAAGTAATTTAAACCAAGAAATACACAAAGAATTGTTAAATATACCATAACATTTGATTCATGGAGGGACTGGTTAGAATGAAAGAAATATTACTCTATTCAGGCCACCATAGCATATTGAAAGGCACTGGTTTGCTTTCCCTGTAGAAGTTTACTTCTCCTAGTTGTAGCGTTGAAAAAACTCAAGATCAATTTGGTTTCTGGAGATGGTGCTCTTGCTGGCTTACAGCCAGCCATCTTGTTCCTGTGTGCGTATCCACCCTTTTATTTTTATGTACAAGGGGAGAGAGAGAGAAGAACAAGTTTCTTTGTACCCTTTGAGGACGATAACACTGTTAGATGAGCCACAAACACATGAACTCATCTAACTTTATCTCTCAGTAGTTATCTCTTTAAATGTCATTACCTTGCAGCTTAGTGCTTTATTGTATGAGTGAGTATCACATTCAAAAGAGAATGAATGGTGAAAGTCATCAGTTTTCTGCACTTGTATAACTTGTTAGGAATCAGTCCTTAGGAATTTGCCAGAGACTCTCCTTCTTAAGTTCTTGGATATCTGTTCCTAAATAAATGTCTAGATTCAGACTTGCTTAAAATTTGAAGAGTGCTGATTGTCCTTCACTGGAGGAACCAGGAGCTTGAGAAATCCTGCACACTGCAAGAATTGTCTTAGCAAGCATGCTGGAATTAGGGAACAAAACCCTTTTCTCATGCAATGTCTCCCTAGCACCCTCTACTGACAAAGCTTCAATACCAGCTAGCAAGGAAAAGAAAAAAAAAAAAAAAAATTGTCAAAGAGGCAGATCTATTTTGACAGAGCAGTTTTTAAAAGTTCATTTAGAATTCAAAGGCATAAGTCAATAACTAGCATACTACCCTAAACTAAAAATAATTACCAGCAGAATCAGACCAAGGAAACAATACAGTGTTTATTAGTAGGATAAACTATTTTCAGTTTTATTCATTGCTGTATTATCTGTACCTAGAATGACTCAAAATAGATGCTCAGCATATATTTGTTTAAAAAAAAGAATGAATAGACTCATTTCTTAACTTTCTTTAATGTTTTTCTTCTCTCTTTTACTATAGCGGATGGATGCACAGACTGGTCCGTGGACATTAAGAAATACCAAGTTTTGGTGGGAGAACCTGTTCGAATCAAATGTGCACTCTTTTATGGTTATATCAGAGCAAATTATTCCCTTGCCCAAAGTGCTGGACTCAGTTTGATGTGGTACAAGAGCTCTGGCCCTGGAGATTTTGAAGAACCAATAGCCTTTGATGGAAGTAGAATGAGCAAAGAAGAAGACTCCATTTGGTTCCGACCAACACTGCTACAGGACAGTGGACTTTATGCTTGTGTCATCAGGTATCCTTTCTATTCTATTACTGGTGAATCAGTGACATTGCATGCTACTTTCTCTTACATTCTTCCCCTGTCTCTTTCTGCTGAAGGTACTGTCTCAATATTTGTATATATTGCTGCTTTCTAAAATTTGGAGTCTAAGTCATGAAAAGATAGAATTGGAACTTATACTGAAACATTATTTCTAGCTTATGGAGAAAAGAGATACCATCTGGGTATCTACGTATGTTCCCAGAAATTACTAAAGACTATGAAATAAAATTTATACAGGAAGTAAATGTTGCAAATAAAAATGTAAGCAAAGACTTACAGAAAGAATGCATAGTTTATTGCTAAATGGGTTGTAACATTTTGTTATTACCCTTCACGGAGACATAGAGCAGAGATAATTCTTGTTCACACACATCTGAAAAGATGATTTAGGTGGCGTGTGTATGGGAACAAAAAGAGAAAAGCAGTCCTGCCACATTAGGAAATGCAAAGTTTGTATCCTAGACCATTTTGTTGATGAAAATTGCTGGATCAATACCAAAATCTTGCTGTGTCTTTCATTGTCCTTATTAAAGTTAACAACAATATCATTGGCATTATCCTCAAGGTAACTCATCACAAATCTGCACATCATTGTCAAAGAGATACACGGTTTATTCAATCACAGTGCATTGACATACTATCTATGTAATCTGTGGAACACATAAGCAGTTAAAAATACCACATTAAGCATTTAGCCCTTCTTCATCTAGAAGGAGCACGTTTATTTAGCTAGTCAGAGAATATACCTTTATGAGTGTTCTATATCATAATGGGCATTTTTAACTGAGTTCTGTCCTTGAATTTTTGTTTTAATGTTTTGCAAGAAAAAGTGAATGAAGAACTATGAACCAATTTTTTTTGCTTTCTTTTATTGCCATCCATAAAAACATTTTAAAAAAAAATCTCTCTCTGCTCTTGACCTTCAATTTTTAAATTCCTTTTTTCAGAGTTATGTCCCATTAGTTGTTTGAAACATACACTTGGCTAGAGTTCATATGAGCATTACCTCGCTCTGCAAATGGTAGCATTTACATGATAATTTGCACTAAAATTTTATTCTTGGGGTAATTATTGTATCATATTAAATTGCAGAAATTAACATAGAGAGGTCACATGTATCCTTAATTAAGCTTTGCTCAATAGTAACATTTTTCAAAGATGAAGTACAATATCATAATCAGAGTATTGAGCTCCATATGATAAAGATTAAAAAAATGCCATCCTCTCAAGAAATACCCATAGTTCCCATTTGAAGCTATACCATTTCTACCTAATCCCCATCACAAGTAACTGGCAATTACTAATATGTTATTAATAATTTTTCCATTCAATAAAGCAATATAAATGAGATCATACAGTGTATATAATTCATTGTAATTGCCCTTTACCACAACATAATTCCTTTGAAATCCATCTGAGTGTTGCAGGAAGCCTACTTAATTTTTTTTTTTTTTTCTTTTACTGGTGAACAGTGTTCCACAAAAGGAATATGCTTTGATTATTTGCTCTCTTCATGTAATCTGGATGGTTTTTAGTTTGTGACCATTAAAAATAAAACTTCTATGAAAATTCACAAACCAAATGTCCAAAAATGAATATGAGTTGTAAGTTAGTTGCATATTCAGTTTTATAAGAAATTATCAAACTGTTTTTCCAAAATAACTTTATCATGTTTTTAGCATTAAAAAGAGACAGTTTCTCCATATACTTGCAATATTTGGTATTGTCATGGTATTTAGTTATAGCCATTCTGGTAGGCTAATCTTGGTATCTCATGATTTGATTTTGTATTTTTTTTTTTTTTTTCTTTTTTGGTACTGAGGATCAAACTCACTACCTCACACTTGCCATTCAGGCACAGATGCAACTGAGCTAAATCCCTGGTCCTAATTTTGCATTTTTAAATAATGGCTAATAGCTCTGTGTTGGGTAAATTTCCTATTCAGTTTTTTGTCAACTGTATAATTTTAATTGTGCTTCTTGTTAAGGTCAGTTTTTGTTTGTTTGTTTTGCTACTAAGGATAGAACCCAGGGCTTCAGACATGTTTGACAACTGTTATACAAATAATTACACCACCAGGAACCTTTGTTGAGTTTTCAAAAATCTTTGAATGTGTAAATACCAGTTCTCTTTCAAATAGGTGGTTTGCAAATATGTAGCTTTGTTTTTAGGCTACCTTTGGCATGATTACCAGTTTCATTTCCTTATGTTTTGCTAAAATGCATGGAATAATTTTGATTTTTCATGTTTCATGTACTTATTTAGCTATGGTTTATGGGCTGATACATGGTCTAGTTTGGAATAAGTTCCATATACTACTGAGAAGATTGTGTGTTCTGTTGTTGTTGGGTGGAATATTCTTGAAATGCCTGTTAATTCTCTTTGTTTATAGGTATGATTTAACTCTGTCATGAATTTGTTGATTCTTTTATCTAAGAGATTTTTCTATTTGTGCTAGTTTCCTGTTGAGGTTACCTACTATAACTGTGCTGATGTTTAGTTGACCTTTAATTTCCAGTAGTGTTTTTTTTTTTTAAAGTCAGGTGTATTAATGTTTGGTGCATATATGCTCATCTTTGACATATTTTTCTGTGGAATGGTTCTCTTAATCAATATGTAGTAGCCTTCTTTACCTCTAATGATCAGTATTGACTTTAAGTCCATTTTTCCTGAAAATAGAAAAGCTAGCTACTCCTGCTAGTTTTCATATTCCCTTTTTATGAAATATTGTTTTCCACTCTTTGGTATATAGTCTGTGAATTTCTCTTTGGATTAAATGTGGTTGGTTAAATACAAGGTTTCTTAATTTTGATGAAGTTCAAATTATAAATTTTATATTTATGGTTCATAATTTTGTTATAAGTTATGAATCTTTGCCTAACCCTTATTCCTGAATACTTCACTTGTTTTATTTTTTTTTTTACTTTTAAAATGGTAATGCCAGAAGTTTTATTGTTTTATACTTAATATTTAATTGTATCATTTATTCTGAGTTAATATTTGTATCAAGTATAAGGGATAAAGAGGTTGAAATTTAATTTTATTATATAGAGTTGATTTTACTCCAATACCATTTTTAAAAAAAATACTATACTTGTTCAGTTGAACTGCTTTTTCTCCTTTATTCATACTCTATAGGGCATAGCTATGTGGGTTGACTTTTGCTTTCTATATTTTATATATATGTGTCCAATTGTCTTCTATTACCATATCATCCTCTTTTGTGTAGCTATATAGTAGGTCAAAACATGAAAAATATGAATTCTTCTTTTAAAATCTGTTGTGAAAAAATGACAATTATAGTTATTTAGCTATAGTAGCACCTGCTATTTTCAAGTATATTTTAGCATGATCTGGTCTGTTTAAAATACCTTTCAAACATTTTGATAGTAATCATGTTAAACCTATATATTGATTTCTGAAGAACTAATATATTTATTATGTTTCATGTATAAGCATGGTTTGACCCTCGATTTACTTATGTTTTCTTTCTTTATCAATGTCTTGTAATTTTCAGTGTATATTTTGTTAAATTTTTATGTAAATATTCATTTTCTTCTAGTATTTGTGCATATATATTTATGTTTCACCACGAAAATTTTCAATTTGTAAAAACTATAAGTTTTTTGTGTGATAACACTTTCTAGGATTTTTTTTTAAATAGACTGGTTTTTAGAGAAAATTTGGACTTAAAGCAACATTGAGCACAAGGTGCAAAGAGTTTCTAAATATACCTCCTCCCTCCACACTTGCATAACAATAGTGACATCCTGCCCAAGACTGGTATATTTGTTACATTTAATAATCCTACCCTTTGTGCAGTGGCATTAGCATAGCAAATGAGGTTTATTCCAGGTGTGGTTACTGCTAATGAACTTACCAGAAAGTTGGAAAACAAGGGGTTTTTTTGCTGTTTTTTTTTTTAATTTAATTTAATTTTTTGTTTTGTTTTGGGTATTGGAGTTCAATCTAGAGTCTCTCCTTCTCACCAGCACTGAATAATTTTTCTAGTGCTCCATATCTTTGCCAGTCTGTTAAAATTTATTCCTAATGTCACAAGTAGCTTTTGAAGACTTTAAAGCTGGATAATGACTTCTATGTAATAGGTTTAATTATGGTCTTCAAAAAAGTAAACCCACTGAGAATGTGACTTTCCCTTGTTATGGTATGTTTTAAAAACAAATTTTTAATTATATATAAAAGCAAATTTTTAATTATATATAAAACATGTTGTATCATGTAAGTATCAAACTCCTTTACTCAGGTTCAGCATTCATCTTAGAGACCTATTCTTCTTGTTTTTCTTGGAAAGTAAGTATGATTTACCAAAAATACTTAATGAATTCCATGTGCAGGGATACCTTGGTTGTCAAATGGTTCTAAGCTCAAACTTTCTACTACTTGAACACCAAAGTTCAAAAAATTCTGCTTAGTGTTTACAACTGTGCTTGACAGTTGAACAGAAAATCTGACTTGGAAAAAAAAAAGACTGTAGAAGCTGAGAATGAGTCATCAGTCACCTCTTGCTGCAGACACAAAGTGGTGATGATTTAGTCTAAGCACCACTCTCTTCCAGACAATATATAGTGCTTGTTTTAGTGCATTAAAACATTTGTTACTGTGTGTGTTTTTTGCACTTTACTATCATGAAATATTGTAACCATGGCTCCAAAGAAAGTGAGTGATAGCAGCAGTAAGGCTAAGAAGAAAACTGTGAGAACCATGATAGTTAAAGAAATCCTTAGAAATTTGTTAAAGTCGTGGAAAAATGAATTTATACGTGTAATTTGGGTGCCTTGGGACAAATTAGTTTTCTATTTTTTATTATGGGAAAAATATGTTCAGTTCTTGAACTTTTCTGTGTTGTAGCATGAATTTGAAATGAATTGAGTTCTACAACTGGGATATCACTGTATTTACTCACTAGCAGACGTGCAGATCACATTGTGATAAGTAATGTGTTAGTGTA